AGCCTCGCGCGTCTGCCGGCCAAGGTTGAAGGAGTCTTCGGGCCGCCCGGCGAGCCCGACACAATGCAGATCATTCGCGCGTTGAGCCGCCTGCTCACGTAGACGCCCGACGGGATCGAGCGGGGTCGACCCACGGCGCGCGCAGATCGTAGAGCGCGCGGGCGCAAATCTCACGACCCCAGGGCTGATGGAGATACCCGGAACCGCCTAGATTGAGGACGTCGAGATCTTTGTTGACGAGGGCACGCGGCTCACATACTCATGCATGTGCATGGCGTCGCCCAGGACCGCTTCGACCGGAACGTGGCTGTCCGGGAGCTGGCATCAGGCATGCAGTGCCCGACTGAGAGACGTGTGAACATTCTCAGGCACATTGCGCGCCTTTTCATAAGCGCGCCGCGCCTCGTCCATAACTTATGCCACCAGGCGGCGACTTTCATGGAGGGATGATTTGGCGCCGACCACGCAGGTTGCTTGCGTGCGCGCGGGAGTACCTCTGGCGGGCGCATATTGGATGGGGCGAGTTGCCTGTTGCATCGGTGCAGAGGACAATCCGTCATATTTTTGGGTGGTGGCGCAGCGGAACACTGTTCTTGGTGACTTTGATGTCGGAACTGCCCGGGTTTCGGTCTTCAGCGTTGGATTGAAAGTTGGCGTGCACGTTGGGCGCCAATGTCGGCGCGGCCGCTGCGATTGGCATGGCGTTGCAGACAGGCCTTGGCAAGACGAAGTGCATGTACACAGTGTGGTTCTTTGCGCAGGATGCAATCAGTAGACTCAAGGTTGGGCTCCGCATGTGGGTATGAGGAGATGCTCGCAGATCTCCGAACGAACTTCCTAGCCTGGGAGAAGACCGAACGATTCACAGCCGACTTCTGCTTCAAACCAAAAAAATCGGGCTGCACACGCTTACGCTTGGCGTTTTAAGGGGCGATTATGCAGCACGAAAAATGGGAAACAAATATGGCCCGAGTCTACGTCGAGTCTGGTGCATCATTGTTTGTGCGGCGTGGAGTCCGAGGGAGCTCCCGGCGAAACCAAAGTTCACAGTATCATTTTCACATGTTGCCCGAGGCTGCGGGCGGGATTGCGGCAACCTAAACGGTCGCAGCCATAATGTGGTGTCGCTGTAGGCCGCTGCAAAGCTTTAGCCTCGTCTGTAAGATGGCTTGGCCCAGGCTCGGGAAACAGCTCGGGCAGAAATGGCGGCGCATGCTCCGCCCTCGGGGGGCGTGGAGAGATCTCCTTCCCATTGAGCTCACGTGTAAATGTCACGGGGTCGGTGCGGCAATATTTTTCCCGAATCGCTGTTCCTTCATGCTGCAGCCATCTGAATTGTCCGAGGGAGATACACATGGCTGAGCGCATTCCTCAGGGTTGATTCTGCCGGTGTGCTACCGTCATTTTGCGTGCGCCGGCGGTCTTGGACAACAAAGAAGCAGCTAGGCTAGGCCTGGACTCGAGCCCGAGTTTGGGCCCTCGGAGGATGCTAAGTCCGCGCGGAGTAAGTACGTGCTAAGTGTTCGATTTCCGTCTGGGTTTGCTCCGCCTGGGCGCGTGCGTTCCTGAGACGATGTTATAAGACATTGCGGAGCAAGTCCACACGGAGTGCTCAGCCTCCGTCTGGGATTATTCCGTTTTGGTTTTTAGCCTCTCTTGAGAGCCCGAGCCCGCGCCTGAGCCCGAGCCCGAAGAGCATTATCCCGAGGGCGCGATCATGAGCCCATTGCCGGTTTTTTTGTTCTGGGTTTGTCACTACTCCCAGGACTTTGGGAAGAGCAGGGCAGACGTTGGCCTGGCCAGCGTGCCAGGTCTTTCGAACCAGGGCTTCCTTTCACAAGACGGGATGTCCGTGCGACGACGACGACGACGACGACGACGACGACGACGACGACGACGACGACGACGACGACGACGACGACGACGGCGGCGGCGGCGGCGGCGGCGGCGGCGGCGGCGGCGGCGACGGCGACGGCGACGGCGACGGCGACGGCGACGGCGACGGCGACGGCGACGGCGACCGCAATGACGACGCCTGCGGCGTTGACGCTGAGCGGCGGCGGCGGCGACGACGAGGATGGCGGGTACCCTCCTGTTTCTCTTTATTATCCGCTCTCAGAGGCCCGACGGCATTCGATTTCCTGCTTGAGCACCCCCTGCGCGTGTAGTCGGCCACGTCCCTCCTCGACCGTTCTGCTTCCGAGGGGCTGGGCAAGGGAGCCCTAATTATCTTTTTCCAAAACTACACCATATCAATACTGCTCTTTTCTTTCCCCCGAAAACGTGCTGAGAGTGGTGGCCCCCCTCCGCGTGCTGCTAATCGTTCGCGCTGGGTTTATGCAAGTTGTTTTTGCTCAAATGTGTTTTTTTTTCCAATCCGAGCATGTCTGGTCCTGTCGAAATTGTATTCCCGCTGCAGCGTTGGTCTTATGTTACTTTCGACGTTTTGTTCCCGTCGTTCAGGCTGGCGTTCCTGCCCCATCGCGTGCCACTCTTCTGGATCCGAGTGTGTCCTTATCATTGTCTCCCCACTCTTTTCCACTCCCCGGCCTTCCCTCTGTCATCCTGTTTTTGCAGTTTCTCCCGTTCCTGTTCCTGCTTCTGCTGCTGCTCCTCCTCGTCTTCCTTCCTTCCTCCTCCTCCTCCTCCTCTTCCTCCTCCTCCTCCCCCTGTTCCTCCTGTTCATGCGCAACCTCTTCCAACGTCCGCAGCTACCTTGTTTTGATTGCCCATGACACGAATGGGTCCATTTGGGGTTCCAGGTCCGATACGACACCCGTCGGCGGATTTATTTTCACATCATATGGAAGAGATGGGTAGGATGTCGGATGTGGCGCGAGCGCACTTAGCTTGCCTTCATCCTCTCTCTCTCTCTCTTTCTCTCTCTTTCTCTCTCTCTTTCTCTCTCGCTCTCTCTTTTTCTCTCTCTCTTTCTCTCTCTCTCTCTCTATATATATGTGTGTATGTCCTCACGTCCTAGAGGACGACGACGACCACGACGACGACGACGACAACGACTTCGACGACGACGACGACGACGACGACGACTACGACGAGACCCACGACGATGGCCGCGAGGCCGACGACGACCTGAACGACGAGAACGATGACGGTGACGACCAAAGGGAGGGCAGCGAGGAGGGCCCCTGCGCGCCCCGCGCCCCCCCTGCCAACCCTCCGATACAGCTTGACCTTTCTTCGAGCCGCCGGCCCGCATGGAGCTCTCGGCCCCGCCGACCATCGATTATCATGAATCTATGGGAGGCGGAGGTAAGGTTCCGAATTCGCCACGTTTTCGACAAAATCTGAACCCTACCCCTGCAGCCCATCGAGTTGCTTGAATCGTTCATCCGCCAGGTTAGGGTTCGGATTTCGCCGCCGAATTCTGGGGGACAGCCTCCTCACCCCCCAGACATGCGGGCGGATGACAACGGGAGGGGGCATACCATGACTGCTGCTCGCGGTTCGTGGGCCTCCGGCGCCCGTCCATGGAACACGATTTGGAGGACTTCGTCGGCATTGACCGGTCCTCGACGGCATCGTGGGGCAACCCGGCGCTGACGGAGGCGGAGAAGAGCGCCCTGAGGGCGATATCCATCTACGCTCTGCACATGGCGCACGCGCAGGTCCGCCACGGACCGCGGGCGGCCGAGGCAGCGAACGCCTTCCGCGGCCATCTCCGCGAGGCCACGCGGTGCCACCCGAGGTCCACAGAGCTGATGGTGAGGGCCTTCGCTTCGCGGGGCGCGCGGGCAACCAGAGGCTGATTCCCATTTTTCCCAACCTTCCCGAGACTGGGCATTTTCGTGTCTGCCCACTCCTCCCCTCTCTCTCCCTCCTTCTCTCCTTTTTCTCCGCCGTGTCCATCCGCGATCCCATAATATTGTGTTGGATTTCCGGCAGTGGCCGGTTGGGCCAGGCGCCAGAGGGTTATGACACAATGTATGCAACTCCGGCCCGATACGTTTTGAGGGCAATTCGTATCACTCGCAATATTGTTTCCTACTGGTCTCATTCGGGATTGAAACCCAGATTGCATCTCAGCCTCTAGATCTTCGCCAGCGCGTGGAGTCAAAACTGCATACAGCTTTGCTTGCGCTGCGAGGAAAAAACAACGGGAGGGAGGGGGCATACATGTGGGGGGGATCGAAGACTGGAGGAGGAGAGAGTGGCCCTGAAGGGGCTAAATGGCCCTCTCAAGCTGCCACCGTTGCCTTGGCCCGACAGGTAGCGGAAGGAACGCGTTTCTTCACCCACCCCCGTTGATTCCCCACCCTTACGGACGCTCGACGGACTTGCTCTTGACGGCTCCGTCCCCAGGACCGCCTCCTCAGCCCGGACGTGCGTTGTTCTCTCCGGGGCTCCGAAAACGGGTTTGGGCTTGATAGGTTTTCCAAATCTCAGGATTACCGAAAATTCCCCATCGTCCTCATGTTCGGAGCCCGACCACAGGACTTGGCGGGTGTCGCGGCCCAGGTAACAATTGCCAATTCTTTGTTTTTGCAGCCCGTCTTGGAGAAATTTACCATCGGGATTGCGGCAGCTTTCGACGGCACCCAGGGCCTGGAATTGGCCTCCAGACGTGGACTGATAGTGACCCAGACATGCGAAGTCTCGATTCTATCAATGCACGGCCCGAGGAAGTCCCGAGCTTGCCTCCCCAAGGGCACGGCTCGTCATCCCGAGTCGTTTTCTGGCGATCTGGGGGCCTGACGATGGCCCCCCAAAAGCCAACAAAAGACGAACCACCTTCGCCAGGGCGCGAGCCAAACTAGTGTTTTTGGCGGTTTCGTGGGCCGTTCTCGTTTTGGCTACGTGGAGCGAGGCTGAACGACAACGCAGAACGATGCTTAGCTCCAGCCCTGACCTCCGAACGGGATTTGACGTTGGACTTCTGGGGACGGCGACGTCCCCCGGGTCGCTGGAGGTCTGGGCCGCCCGAGCCGGGCCAACCACGGAGTCTGTACATGCCGAGCACCGATCGCCCCGGGGCGGCCGAGGACGGCGTGCACGGAGGGCCGCCGGGGTCCGCCGCCCCCGCAGGAGAGCCTTCTCTGCTCTGCTGCGTCTGCCGGGCCACCAGTCGGGACGATCGCTCGGGCGTTGCGTTGAGGGGGGGTCATACATGAGGGGGTGGCGAGGGTGATCCGGAAAGGTACCCAAACGGTACCTAAATGAGCCCCCGTGGGGCTCCGGAGGGGCCCGGAAGGGGCACGAGATGGGACCGTTTCTGACCCCCCCATTTAGCCCATTAAACCACGCCCAAATCGCAGTGGGTACGGAGACAGTGGGCACAGTCCAACAGCACGTCTGGCTCCTGAACCGGGTTCGTTGTCGGCGTCGCCGCGCTCATGGTCCATCTGAGACGGAAGGCCGTCTGCCCAACAGCGGCCGCTGCTGGTTTTGGACATGTTTTGCTGTTGGGCATCGTACCCATTTTTGTCCGTAGCCCTCTCGGGGGTCCAGATGCTTCTCTCTGTTTGCTGGGCCACCAGCCGTGGAGGCCGCTGGGGGGCTGAGGTTGCCCACCCAGGACTGGGTGCGGCCAGCAGAAAGGGGGGAGAAAGGGGTTCCATCGTCGCCAAGGCTGGGCGCAGCTCGAACAACTTGTCAGCTTCGACCCCTGAAGAGGTGCGGGCCGAGTTTGAGCGAAGTTGCCTTCGTCAACCCCCTCTTGACCTGCGGCGGCGGCGTTGGACAAGGAACGCTTTTCCCGGGGCCCAGGTCCCGGCGCAGTCCTGCTTGTGTCCAGGCGATGTGGGTGCCCCACGTTTGGCCGCCCCTCGGTCGCGAGACCTTGGGTTCCTTACCGAAGGTATCCTCATCTAAAACCTCCACCGTGGTTGGGCCCAGTGAGTCCGTAGCTGATGCGTCGAGCGCGTCGGCGGCCTTGCTTCGTGCTTTCCAGCGCCGCCGCGCCGAGAAGGAAGAGCATGCAGCGACCTCGGCCGCGGGCGCACAGGGCCCGCCCCAGTCGGCTGTGTCGCAGTCCCTTCCCTCTCCCCCCGCCTTGGCCGCGGTCAGGCCTCGGAGAGCCCCCTCGGGTCCTGCTGGCCAGGGGAGGACCCCAGGGACCCTGAGGGCGAGCCCCGTCGGCCCGAGGACAGGGGACTCGTTTTTGTGTAGTTCGCGTGCTGTCCTGTCCCAGGACGACCCTGTCGAGTCGGGAGCCTGGGAGGTCAATGGACACAGTCTGCGTGAATCCCGAGTTTCGGGCGGGGATGGCCCCGAGTTTTTGGTTTGTGTGGTGTGCTGGATGTACTGTCTGAAACCCCAGTACTGCCACAGGGGCCTTGCCAAGGCCTGTGTCGGGGCCCAGAGCGCTGACGACCCCAGGGCCAAAAAGGGCTCCAGGGCGCAGGCGAGAAATGATTTCGCGAAGTCGATCCTGCCTGGAAAATCCAAGCAGCCGATCGACCAGTTGGCTCGGCCCACAGCGGCCACCCGTGCCAGGTGGTCCGAGGCGCTCGGCACGGTCGCGGGCCCAGACGCAGTGGAGGACCCTGTGGCCTCTGCAGGCTCTTGTGCCCCAGCCGTGGAGCCCCCAGTGCTGCGGGTTCGGGCACCCGCCCCGCCTGCCCTTGGGAGGCTGATCCGCCCAGGTCTCGAGGGAGCCCTGGGCTCCTTTGGCTTTGCCAGCGCTGCTGAGGCTCAGGAGCGTGGCAGGGCTTCCCGAGCGGCCAGTGCGTCGGACCCCAGGCCTGTGGTCGGGCGGAGCGCGGAGTGACGGTCGCGCTTCGGGGTCTGGGCCTGGTCGGCTGCGGGCCCGTGCAAGCGCTGTTTGCGGGGCCGTAAGACGGCGGTCGAATTTGTCTGTGCATGATAAGCCCCAGGGTGATTGAAAAAATATATAAATAAAAAAAACCTCCACCGTATTTTCTCTGGGCCTTTCCAGCTCGGACCCCCTGGCCGCCTCCCACGCCAAGCTTCTTTGCCGCATCGAGCATGGTCTTCTGCCTCTCGGGCCCTCGCCGGGTCCCCTGGACGGTCAGAGGACGATTTGGGACGAGAAGCCGCTCCCATGGAAGCGGTCGAGATCTCCAGGGACCCAGCATATGAGCAGAAACAAAGCATCGGGAGGTCTGGGTATGGGGGCGGTCCTGCCGGCGGCTTCAGGGGGCAGAGTCCCCCTCCTCCTCCTCCTCCTCGACCTCGGTCTTCTCGGCCCTCCTTATCCTGAGACCCAGGCGTTGCATCTTTTCCACCAGGACTATCACAGATCGATCTGGCTCGAAAAGCGGCTAGGGTCTTACAAGGGCTCTAGGGTCTGACTACGGCTCCAGACGTAATTTCTCGCGATGTTGCATTCTTCCGCAACGTCGAATCTGAGGTTCCTGCTCGATCTCCTCCTTCTCGGTCTCCTCCTCCTCGGTCGCCCGCTTCTTGCGTGGCGGTGGCCAGGCCTTTTGTACTTTGTTTGCACTGGCTCACTTGTGGGGATACGGTACATTGCAATACCTGTTTGTTCTTTCATTAGGTCAATCTTTTGCGTTTACTGATTCGTCTCGCGCGGTTGCCATCCGTGGTTGTCCCAGAAGCTGTGTATTTTGGATTCGGATATGCATTTGCAATTGTTTTGATGGGAATTGGCAGAAATAGTTGTATTTGCCCATTGGTCGTGTAGGATGCCCCACAAGGCCACGCCACAATATGTATGTTTGTGTCCCGATGGGCAATCTGCTGTTTTTTTCCCAATTCGGCCATACAGCGGTCCCGCGTGGCAGCACCAATTTTCCCTTCAGAGGAAACTGACTGAGTGTTGGCACATCACCTCGCGTTCAGGCCCAGACTGCAAGGGAAACGGTTGGTTTTTCTTGACCAGTGCTCGGGTTACCCACCTCGGGAGCTGGGGTTTCTTGTTGGGCGAGCGGAATCCGCCGACCCTGTCGGCGTGTGTGAGGGGCTTGTATGTTCGAGTCGTCGTCTCCGTCAATCGTCGTCTCCGGCGTCCCCTTTCCATGCGCCCTCCTCAAGCCTGTCAGCGAGGGAAGAATCTAGCAATGTCGTAGTCGAGTCGACAGGAAGCCCTTTCCCTTTGATCCGTCGGGGGGGTCCTGTGGGGGTGTAGCGGGGGGGGGATCCTAGGGGCGTCCTGGGGGCGGGGTCAGATACGCGTCCCCCCTTGGGGTTCCTGGGACCTCCGAAAGTACCAACACAGGCCAAGAGTGCCCAAAGAGGTTCCCGAGACGGTCCAAGGGCCTAAGGGAGCCCCCAATCGCCAAACTATTAGTCCAAAACGCCCTTACGCCCTCCGGACTGCCCAGGAGGCCGTCAATACGTCCCAAGAAGCCTCCAAGAGCGCTCTCGAGAAGGGTCCCACGAGACAAAATTAATTGATCCTCCGAAGTATTTGAAGGATTTGGGCGTTCTCGCCTTTTCCGTTCCCCGCCGCTCCAAGACGGCCCAAGAGGCCCCGAAGATCGCCCCAACATTGCCCAAGAGGCTTCCAAGAGGGCCCCAAAGCAGCCCTAGTGGACCCAAGGCACCCGACAACGCCTCCAAGACGGCCCAAGAGGCCCGCTTCAAGAGCGTGCCCAGACGGGGGACCCGAACGGACATTTTGAGCCGTCAGCACCGAGAGGCTCCCAGGAGGCCCCAAGAGTCCCCGAGAAGCCCGAAGAGGCCCCAAGAGGCTCCCAAGAGGCCCCAGAATTCCTCCCCAGAGGCCCCCGAGAGCCTTCGGAGAGACCCCACATCCCTCTGGCCCACGTCAGCGTCGTCGTCGCCGCCGCCGCTGTCGTCGTCGTCCCCCTTCAGGGTCGGCGGCACCAGCAGTAATGCCTTCGCAAAATGGTAAACGCATGACTTGTGAATGCATCGCTCCGTGCCGAGACCCAGAATGCAAGCCGAACGCTCGGTTTTCTCAGCCAGTGTTCGGGTGACCCAGCCGCGCGAGGGTCACCTGCGCGGTGCGCGCGCCGAACGGGAAATGCGGTTAGTGGGAATGCGTTACCTTGAGTTGCGGCTCAGAATGCATTTGAAGCGATTCCCCAACAGTTTTCGGGTGACCCTCTTGCGGGTGAGTCACCTGCGCAGTGCGCGCGGAATACGGGAATCGTACCTATTGATTGGGAATGCATCGCCTCCTGTTGAGGCCCAGAATGCTAGTAAATGCAAGTGTCTTTCTCTACAAGTTTTTTCTGGTGGCCCGCCCGTGTCTGGATCACCTGTGCGGTGCGCGCCGAATCCGAGAAACGTATTGTTTGGTAGTGTCTCGTCTCATGTCGAGGTCCAGAGTGCATTTGAAGCGACTAGTTTTTCTCAACCAGTTTCCAGGTGACCCAACCGCGCGTGGGTCATTTGCGTGGTGCGCGCGGACTGCGGGAAACGCACGGGTTGGGAAAGCATCCCCCCATGTTGAGGCCCAGAATGCAAGTGAACCAAATGGTTTTTCTCTCTGCCAGTTTTCCGGGGGCCCAACCTTGCGTGTGTCACCTGTGCGGCGCGCGCGGAATTGGGGAATTGTGTCGAATGGGACTGCACCGCTTCATGTAGTTGCCCAGGATGCAATCAAAACGTTCGGTGCCAGTTTTCTGGTGACCCTCCCACGCTGTGGTCACCTGCGCGGTGCGCGCGCCATACAGGAAACGTATCGAGTAGCAAAACATGACAGCACGTTGAAGTCCAGAACGCAGGTGAAAAACACATTGCTATGTCCAACAAGTTTTCAGGTGACCCACCCGCGGCTGATCAAGTGCGCGGTGGGCGCGCCATTCGGATCACGTATAGACGGGGAATGCTTCGCCGCATGTTGAAGCCCAGGATGCAGTTGAAACCAAACCAGTGGGTGGGTTGTCTTCACAAGTTTTCGAGTCAAGTTTTCGAGTGAGCCGAGTGAGCCACCCGCGCATGGGTCACTTGCGCGGTGCGCGCGGGATATTAGAAACGCATTGAACTCGAACGCGTCTTCATCATGCAGAGGCCATAATGCAACTGAGATGATTGATTTTCCTCAACTAGTTCTTGGGTGGCCAGCCCGCGAGTGGGTCGCGTTTGCGATGCGCCCGCGATGCGGGACACGCATCGAATGGGCATTCATCAGCTCATGTCGAGACCCAGCATGCAAGTGCCACACAAGATGTGTTTTAACCTGTCTTCAAGTAACTCACCCGCGCGTGGGTCATTCGCGCGGTGCGCGCACCATACGGGAATCGCATGAGTTTGGACTGCATCGCATCATTATGATGCCCCGTGTGTAAGTTATACAATGGGTTTTCCTGAACCGGTTTTCGGGTGATCCACCTGTGCGTGGGTCACCCGTGCGGTGCGCGCATTGGAAACCTATGATATGGGAATGAACCGCCTCATGTAGAGGCCCAGGATGCAGGTAAAACAATTGGTTATTCTTCAGGCAATTTGCCCGCCATGCGGGATTCGTACCGAGTGGGGATACATCGCCTCATTTGGAGGCCCATAATGCAAGTGGAACGATTGATTTCTCCCGACCAGTTTTCGGGTTACCATCCCGCGCGTGGGGCACTTGCGAGGTAAGGGGGGCAGGAGAGAGAGGGAGGGAGAGGAGAGGTAAGGGTGGGGGGATGAAGCTTGCGAGGAAGAGGAGCACGAGGAGGGGCGGAGTGACAGAATGGAGGGGGAGAGGTACTACGCAGGATAAGAATCATGCAAGGAGAGAAGAGAGGTACGCAGGAGGCTGAAAGCATGAAGGGGGAGGAGGCAGGGGGAGGTGAGCCCGAGGAGGAGGAGGAGGAGGAGGAGGAGGAGCATGAGCACGAGCAGGAGCAGGAGCAGGAGTAGGAGTAGGAGCAGGAGCAGGAGCAGGAGCAGGAGCAGGAGGTGGAGGCGGAAGCGGGAGGAGGAGGAGGAGCAGGAGGACAAGCATCGGCACGATCGACATGGGCTCGGAAAGAATGGGGACGAACGCCAATGTCATGTCTTGTCTCTTTTCAACAGGGCTCGCTGTCAATGTCGACCAGGACGTTGTCCGTTTGAGGCAGAAATCGCCTGCCCAACAGCGACCGCTGTCGCTTCGGGACTACACATGCTGTTGGGGCATCGCACTCATGTTTGTGCGTACCGATCTCCTGTATGCCAACAGCACGGGGAGCGATAGGGAGGGGAGCGAACGTCCGAACGGTGCCCAGCATAGCATCGCATCTTCGAGGAGGAGGCGCAGGAGTCGAAGGTCGGCGGCGCGCCGAGCTGGAATGCCAGAGGTGGTTCGCGGGTCACCCTCTCGGCCAGCGGCCGGAGCGCTGGCGGCGGAGAGCGCCCCAGAACGTCGACACACGAATCGGGGAGAAGGTGCACGAGCCGAAGGTGGGTGGGCGCCGAGGGGGGATGCTGGAGGGGGCAGGCATTCGCGGGAGGCCGCGGGCATTCTCAGAAGCCTTCGGGCCTTCCGAGAGGGCCCGCCCCCTTTAAGCCTTCCTCCCTGGGCGCGCCGCCGAGAAGAAGAGCCCGAGCTGGAGCCCGAGCAGGAGCCAGAGCCCAGACGCGAGCTCGAGCGCGAGCCCGAGCCTGAGCTCGGATTCGATTCGTGATTATTCGTTGGCGATCCGATCCGTTTGCGATCCAATCCGTTTTCGCGATTCGATTCCAAGCCGACGGCAGAAGGATGGAGAGGGGGGATGTCCCCTGACGTCCGCCGATCTGATTTTCGGCCCACGGCCCCAGAGGTGCCCGCCGCTTCCCTGGTGGCAGTTCGCCCCGGCTCCGTGTTGGATGGCTGCCCGAATTGTCGGAGGCCCAGAGGTTGACGCCGACACCAGTGTCGGCGGTCTGCCTCCGCCGAGGGAAGCTGGTCACGATCTCGGTGACGGCGGCAATGTTCGGGCCTCCCGGGGGGCCGAAATATTACCACCAGCGCCAGCGGTGCCCATCGGCGAAGGGCGCACGTCGACCAGGCCGCCGGGCGCTCTTGCTCGCCCGACTCCTGAGGGCGCCAGCCACAGACTCCCACGGCCGATCTCGGCCGCGTCGTTCCCGGGCCACACGGGATCGGTGCACGGGCCCGTCCTGGCCAGGCCACGAGGGCGTATATGCCCACCGATCTCGGGCAACACACAAGGCCACAACCTCGAAAACGCGGAGGTCCGCGCGGGTTCCTCGGATCGGCGCTGGACCCCTGTCCTTGGCGCGCGCAGAAAGGACGACGGAGAGCGGTCGTTCCTTCTCGGCCTCCCGGGGGCCCTCGCTGGCCCCCGGGGGCCGTCAGCGAACGGCTCGGGACGACAAGCTGATCTGGGGGGAGAGGATTCTGGGGCGCAGGCACCGACTCTGAGGAACAGGTCCTTTCAGGCTTCTGGGGCGCATGCGCCGCTCTGGGGGCGGGTGCCCAGTCCCTCGCCTCCAAGGGATGGGGGAGATCGTGCCGTCGGAGATCCGGGCCCGCGCGGTGCAGCACGCGGCCGGCCCCCGCGCGCGCGGCCGCGCCCTCTCGCGCGGCCAGGGTCGGACCTGGTCCGCAGGCAGCTCTGGCGGGACGACGTGCCCCGGGGCTGGGCGTGGGCGCCCGCCGCGGCCCCGGCCCTGCCCCAGGCGCGCGGGGGAGTCGGGGGCGCAAAAAAGGGGGTCGATGACTGGGGGGGGGGGATATCATGGCGGGGGCCATGATATTTCCCCAGATTTCATGGCGCCTCTTCTTATTTCATTACGTCCCTGGCCCCCCCGCTGGGCCGCGTACATGCCGCCGGTCATGATTTGCACCCCCCCCTCTTGGACACCCCCCTCTTGGCCGCTCCCGACGGAGGGTCGGGACGATCGAAGGGCAGAAGGACCGACGCTTCTGAAAGGATAACAGAAGAGTTGTGGCATTTTTCCAACTCCTTCGGCAAAGCGTTTTTTCTTACGGTGCTGGCAGGGGGAGAGGGGTGGCAGTTGCCCCTCCCCAAGACGAGAGGGAGCACCCCCACCCTCCGGAAGATTATGGGAGGGGGTCCTGAACCTCCCTAAAACCCCTTTTTCCCTGCAAGTGGGGGAGGGGGGGTACCGAACCCCCCCCCCTGGACAAGGCGGCAAAACGACGACGACGACGACAATGACGAAGCGACGACGACGACGACGACGACGACGACGACGCCGACGACGACGACGACGACGACGACGACGACGACGACGACGACCGGCGACCGTCGACCGGCGACGGGCGACGGGCGACGGGCGACGGGCGACGACGACGCCGACACCGACACACGACGTCCGACGCTCGACGCCCGTCGGAGGACGACCGACGAAGACGAAGACGAAGACGAAGACGAAGACGACGACCGTCGTCCGACGACGACGGACGGCGACGACGACGGACGACGACGACGGCGACGACGGACGACGACGACGACGGACGACGACGATGACGACGGGCGACGACGACAAAACGACGACGACAACACCGACGCCGACGCCGACGCACCACGCTCGTCGCACGACGCACGACGCACGGCGACCGACGACCGACGACCGACGACCGACGACGGGGCGGGGCGGGGCGGGTGGGAAAGGAAGTATGATGGATGCATTCTGGAGGTTGCGCTATCAGGGTCTTAATGGGCGGGTCGGGTCGGGCGGGCGAGCCCTTTACGGTCGGGTCGGGTGTGGCGGGCGGACCGTGACGGGCAAATGTCCTTTCCTTGTGGTTATTTCTCTTCTGGGGGTTATTCCTTTGGGGGCTCAAGTGCCACGCCTGCTACATCGCGATGAGCATGGGGCCTTGAAGAGGGAGAAGTCTGATCAACCAAGCAGGCAAGCCGCGAGAGACATCTCACACTCTGGGCGCAAATGGGCGAATGTCCCCACTCCTTGGTGGCTCCCCCCTGCGGTGGCCAATCGCCACCCCTTGTACATCGCGATGAGCATTGGGCTTTGCAAGAGAGGCGTCTGACCAACCAAACCAGCTAGCCGCCCGAGACATCTCCACAATCTGTGCGCGAACGGGCACATATCGCCCCCCCCCACCTGGCGGTTCCTCCTTGGGATGCTCAGAGGCTATATCGTGGTGATTAGGGGGCTGGGGAAAGGAGAAGTCTGGTCAACTAGACAAGAACACAGCCTGACACATCCCCACAAGTTGGGCGCGAGTGGGCACATGGCTCCAACCCTGGCAGTTCTTCCTTGGGGTGCTCAAGTGCCAGCCCTGATACGTCGCGGCGAGCCTGGGGCCCTGACTGCTTTAATGATTAGGAATGATGTATTTCTGGGTTGAATATGACTTGGCTAGGTACTTGTCTGTGAGTACATCCGAGTGGCGGTCAGTCTGAGCATGAGTGGTATCAGCTTAGTGTGATGAGCCAGGGCGTGATCGCATCTGAGTGTGAGCGGGTACGAGTACAAGTGTTCTGAGTGTGATCGGAGGGAGAGTGAGAGAGAGAGAGAGAGAGAGAGACAGAGAGAGAGAGAGAACGGGAGCGGGAGTGAATAAGGAGGTTGTCGGCATCTCGTTGGTCGTTGTCGTCATCGTCCCCGTCGCCGCCGTTGTCGGTCATCGGTCGTCGGTCGTCGGTCGTCGTTCGTCGTTGTCCCAGTCGTCGTCTTTTTCGTCGTCGTCATCATCGTTGTGTTCGCCGTCGTGGGTCGTTGTTGTCAGTGCAGTTGTTTTAGCTCAGACCGCGCGGCAGTCCAACTGCGGGTGCAGTCCCAGGGCCCTAGGACTAGGGCCAAAACGGTGGCGGGCAGCGTGCACGCCACAAACATGAAAAGCATGTACATCATGCGTACACGGTGGCACGGGCGGCAGAGGGGCAGGGGAGTGCACTCTTCACACTGGGTGAGTACAATGCTGCCCCGATGCCGCTCCCTACAAGCGTGAAACGCTGCACGCAGTCATCGCCTATACCGGCCCACAGGCCGATACACCTCAAGCAAAGTGCGGCCTGAGGCTCAAAAATATACAGTATGAAATATGAATGTCTAGACTCACTAGTCCAGACTGTCGTCTCAATGTACGTGCACACATCACCGTAGCCCTCACTAGGTCCATGCAGCGGCTGCAACAGGACCTCACGGGCTCGCAGGCCCTGGAACGGCGGCCCGACGCTGGGCCTTCCGCTCCTTGGCTCTCTCACGCTGTCCGCGGCGCAGCCGCAGACGGTGTGCCTCCTCATCCTCCTGTTCAGCAGTAGGCACCATGCTGAACAGTCCGTGGCGGAGGAACTGCGATAGCACCTCGTTAGGCTGCACGGCCTTTGTCAGCACGTCCGCCAGCATGTGGCTATTGGGCAGCCACTTGAACTTGATGGCCTCCTGCTCGATCAAATCCTTGGCCACCAACAAGTCGATGAGGGTCTGCCGAGACACCGGCATCGAGCCGATCTTGGACGTGTGGTCGTAGAGCGACTTCGCGTCCGTCACCAGCGCCCCCGGAACCTTCAGCGCCAGCCTCCAGTCCCCTTGCAAGGGCGGCTCCCCGTGCAAGACTGCCTCAATCAGCAGCCTGAGGTAGAGCTGCCGATCCAAAGCCACGGACATAGCTGCAGACTCTGCGGCCATCGTAGATCCAACAACTCGTGTAATAGTACTACTCTGGAAATCCACTAGACAACACACAGCTAGCTCCTTCAACACTCGGGTATCCGTAATCATACTCATGAACCCCATCTGGCTCTTACAGCCGGGTTCCTTCGCAAACGAAGCGTCCATAAGCGTGAGCACCTGCAAGCGCTCGATGTCCACACGGCGGATCCGGAGAGTCGCAAGACCTCTCTTGTCGTAGTCCTGAAGCCGGTCGATGATGTCATTGAGCACTCGCAGGTGCAGTAACCTCCGACCTTTCGGATCCTTCTGTGCGAGCGCCGACACACTGTACGCGAGTTGTGGCACCACACGTGCGACAGGCCAGCGCACCTTCTGGAGCAAGCTCCGGAAGTCGTGGTGCTCTTCGGGAGTCATCTCCCGCTCCTCGTCGTCCCCCCTTGCAAGGGAGTGCTTTGTCAGCTTGCCGATGTATTCGTGCATGCTGATCTCGATGTGATCGGGGTGGCGCCACCACTCCTCACCGAGATAGGCGACTGCCTCCTTGTCATTGCCCTCCTTCCAGTGCTTGATGTTGAAACGCCTGTTGATATTCGCCTTCACCTCCTGGTACTGGGGGTCGCGCGGGTCCCCAAACAGCATGCCGTCGTCGACGTGCAAGGTCAACATAGCAATCAACTTGCCGGTCGCCCGATATACGAAGACAGCTCGAGCACAGCGCAGCTCCACAAAGCCGACCTCGTCCGTCAGCACCTGGCGGGCTCGGAGATACCACAACCGAGGCGCCTCCGTCAAACCGTACGCCCCTTTCAGCAGACGAAGCAACGCATAGGCCCTACAGCCGGCCATCCAGCGCCGTCGACGGCCGGAAGCCCGTCCTTAGGAGCCCTCACGTACAGCTCCCGCTCCAGCTTCAGCCCGGACAGGAACGCAGTCGCTACGTCGAAGCACTCGAATGTCCAATCCATCGCCATTGTGATAGACGCACACACCAGCACGGCCAAAGGGGAAGAAGTAGGCGAATCCGTCCTGAATAGACCAAGCTGCGGGTCGAGGTGGCCAGGGATGATCAAGCGCGACTTCGCCTCCAATTCCGGCCCTCGCCCCCGGTTTGTGCGAACCGAACGCATGGGCACCGAGATGATCTTATCCTTTGGAATGCTCTTCTCCTCCTCCTCGGTGACCAGCTCGACCGTGTTGTTGGCGATCCATTGCCGCCACTCGGCGGCATCGGCCTCGTCGAACTTAGCCTTCTCGTGCTGGTCGAAGTGACGTGGGTCTAGCTCCTTCGCGTTCTGCTTCATCACGAGTGCGAACACGTCGTGCTCGTACCGCGCCTCCTGCAGCCATGCGTCATACACCGATGACACGTTGATCCACTCCTCGTAAGTCATCGGCTGCCGTACAAGACCCTCCGGAGTGTCCAAATAGTACAACCCCCGTGCCTGAGCGTCCGGCTTGTCGTGGTAGAAGAGCGTGAGACCAACCCAGCTGTCCTCCATGCGCTCGTTGGTACGGCTCGCGCCGTCGTCTTTGTAGGCACACTGGCCCGTGGCGGAGAGCATCACCGACAGACGATTGCACTCCCGGTGGCGGTCGTGATCATAGAGTCTCCGCCGTGGCTATCGATGCACACGTACTCCTCGTACGACCTTCTGAACGAGCGTGGAGACGCCATCCAAGGCATTCTGGTCGAACCACTCCTGGGGCCCCGAGTGCACCACAGCGTTCATGGCCACCTCGCGGAGGGCCGGCAAGCCACTCGTATGGGCAGCCTGCATGCGCGATCTCTTAATGCAACTCGGCACGTCATCTACCAGGAACTTCCGCTTCCGCTCGAGCTCGAAATCGTCTCTGGGAATCGGCGGCACCGAAGGGCCGCCAGAGCCCGTTGCTCCCGGAGAAGCTTCCGGGTACATTCCAGAGGACATCCGGCCTGGGGGGGAACGAGACCGGGCCCTCCTCGGAGGCGGAAGCTGCGGGAACTGCTCCTGCTCAGGTGGCTCCTCCTCCTTAGCCTGTGCCTCAATGGCGTCCAGGGCCCTCAGATCCACACGAGGCTGCCTGGACCCCTC